AATTTTTTTAAACAACAATGTGTTAATTAACTTTATTGTATAACCATTGTTAACAGCAACTTATTTTATAGTTTTAAATTCAGTTTAATCTTCAGATGACAAGGGTGCAGTGATAAGTCTGTGTAAAACGACAAGTGTGTGAGATATTGGATGTCCTGAAAATCATGTATGACGGTGTCACTATAAGTCGATTTTCTGAAAATTTTGAAGAAATGTATGTCAATAATAAGTCCAAAAAATTTGTTGTTTCCGTTTTCACCAAATTCCATAGTAAATTTAATAAATTTGTTTTGTGAATTTGGAAAAGTTACAAAATTGTCGTGTTGACGTTTTGATCCTGTCTAGAGACAAATCACATCATTAACATATCTATACCAATATTCAACATGTTTTGTATTATTTTCATCACTAAACAATTTCTTCTCTAAATTATACATGAACACTTCTACAAGCAAAGGAGAGAGGGTGGAACCCATAGTTAACCCGTCGTTCTGTTTATATATTGGGTCATTAAATTTGAAATAGTTCTGAGCTAGGCAAGTGGTAATTATTGTTTTAAATTCCTGGGCTTAAACAGGGTTTACTTTTTCTATATCCATTAAATCACTTACGATTTTTTACATTCACTAACAGGTACACTGGTTAACAAACAACGAACACCAAAAGAAACAATTTTGGCGTTATTTGGTATCTCTACATTTTTTATTTTTTTTACAAGCTCCAGAGAGTTTTTTTTATATACCAAACTTAGGTTTAAAACCAGTTAGATTTTTGAAAATATTTTTGGCTTTCTGTGCTAGTTTGTAAGCGGGAGCTTTAGTATAGGAAACAACAGGTCTGATAGGAATATTCGTTTTGTGTAGTTTAGGAGGTCCATACAGACGTGGCGGGCGAGGATTTATAACGCTTAACGACTTAGCTTGGAGTTCGTTATGTAAGCTTTTGCTGTTGTTCAACAAAAATGTTAAATTTTTGTTGAAGGTTTTGGTAGAGACTATGTTTAGGAGCGTAAAACTGTTAGAATCAAGCGTCGATTTTACCATGATAATCTTGTTTTTCAAGTACAACAATCGTATTACCTTTGTTCGCTTTTGTGATTGCTAAAATATCATTTTTAATTTTAGATTTTATAGACGTTATCTGCTTGGACTCCTCATCTCCATTTTTAGTATAATCCTCGGAAGACGTTTGAATGATTTTAGAGCATACATTCTTTGTTACAGAGTCGGATTCAGCATTATGTACTGGCTCTATATCTATCGCACGATTTTCAAAGTCTTTTACACTTAACCTAGTTTTGTGACAATATTTTAAACTTTTACTAAGTAGATAGGCTTAGTTTTGTGAACTCTGATTTCGAAAGGTTTAATAACTCAGGATGGAATTTTAAATGGTAATCTTCTTCAGGAATAAACCATTTCATGTTTATTCAGATTATCCAGTTTTCTGATTCACGTAAATACTGTGTTTCAGCTGACTTATATATCCAATAGATCAAATTCCACTGGGTGAAAATGAAAACACAGTTCACTGTGAGCTATTTTAAGGTGTGCACTTACATTGTCTCTAACACTGTACCACTTATTGATCTCTTCACCAACTCCTTTACTAGTAAGTGGTGAATATAAACTTTAGTCACTACGAAGCTGTAAATATTACCTTCAAACAACATTAAGTAGTAAATGTGAATTTCGAAAAGCACAAAGTTGTAAGTAATGTTTCAGAAATTACTGAGTTCTGAATATGAGTTGATATTAATTTCAGGTTGTATTAATATGTAATTATAGTTTTCAAATACTAAATGGTCGTTATTTTCAAGCTGTGTTAAGTATTGAAACACTACTTTCACACAGCGTTAAGAATAATAGTTTAATGATTAAGTCTGTATACGAAATTTCAGTTAATAGGTTTCGGATACATGGAAATGAGAATGATTGTATCTATACCAAAGTAATTTAAACTATCTTACTTCCTTTATCACAGTCATTTAAAGTATACGCACATTTAATGAACCATACAAGATGTTTTACATTTATTTCTTTTTTAAAGCAAAAACAAAAAGTCAAACATCAACCACAAACAACTTCCAAATAAAATAAAAAATTGTACTTGCAGCTATAGAAATAGAGAAAGTTGTCTATATTCTGCTTATTGGTTTAGTCACTCTTAAATACAGACATATTTAGGCAGGTTTCTAATATATTTATCTTGTATATTGCAAGTAAGGCCTGAAACTAGATATGAAGAGTTAGAAACAACCATATCATAAAGCAGAAATAACTAATATTTCATCTTTGACCTATTAAATATATATTGTACATTAAAACGATAATGGAAAAATTGAATTGTAAACGAAAGGCGGAAGACTTTCGAAACGTCGCTCTTTACACTTATGTTTCTACAACAGGAAGTTTCCGTCCATTCTACAAAGTTTCATCATGTATACTCTGCCTAAACAATTTAACAAGTGAATTGTAGAGTTTTGAAGTGATTTTTATATAAAAAATGTGGTATTCGTATTTTCAACCTGAATGGTACTTTTTGCGATACAAGGGTTAAACGGCCAGGTCAGAGATCTTTAATGTTGAAGCATAGCTATCTCTAGTTTTAAACTGCTGACCAGAGACAGAAGAAAACCAGACAGTAACACTCGCCGCTTATTATGTTGACATAAGTAATGGAATAGAAGGATTAACTGTCACATTTATTACATTCTCACCGTTGAAAATGCTGAGCGTACTTAACGTCGTGACGCAACTTGAACCTTCCGATACCAGCACTGCACGCTAACCACTGGCCACGCCAGCAAACAGTTGCGTTTTGTTGGCTTACAGCCACA